CACCTGCCCCTGACCCAGCAGGGCGCCGCTCACACAGTTGTTCCTTACCACAGCCTGCTGGCCTCCTCTGCTCTGCTGTCAGCAGCTTATCTGCTGCAGGGCATTTGCCCACACTCTGCTGAGCTACAGTGCTGGGAACACACACACACACACACACCAGACACACGCATATGCATACACACACATACACATGTACACATATACACACACATAGACACACAGGTGCAAACAGGCAGACACACACATAAACACACTGACAGACAAACAGACACACACACACACACACACCAGACACACACCAGACACACACAGATACACAGACATACACAGAAACCAGACACACACATACATGCACACATATACACACACATAGACACACGGGTGCAAACAGGCAGACACACACACAAACACACTGACAGACACACACACACACACACACCAGACACACACAGACACACAGACATACACAGAAACCAGACACACACATATGCACACACACACACACACACACATGCACACATAGACACACAGGTGCAAACAGGCAGACACACACATAAACACACTGACAGACAGACAGACAGACACACACACACACACACACACACACACACACACTGCAAAGAATGCTGCTACCTTCCCAGGAAGCCTATACAAGGAAAGCAACAAGCCTCTATAGAACCTGGGATGAAGAGACCACTGACCACTCCCTCACATGGACTTTGAGGGATCCCCTTGCCACCCAGAGCTGAGGAGAGAGGGATGCTCACTTGTGCAGCCACCACAGCTGTGCAGAGGGAGAAGCAACAGACAAGTTCGAGGCTACAGGTAGCGAGGCAAAGACAGAGCGCACACAGTAGCTTGGACTAGAGCCTTCTTCCTTGTCCTCTGCTCTTCTCCCCTGTGGAGTCTCCAGTGGCCACTGGTGCTCTCCCACCCTGTTCATGCAATATTTCATCTGCTGGATGGAGATGACGTGGCTGCTTCCGGTAGCATCTCACCCCACCCCACCCTTGCTCCACCTCACATGTGTGCTCCCCTGTGAGATACAGAGAGGGGGGGGAGAGAGAGAGAGAGAGAGAGAGAGAGAGAGAGAGAGAGAGAGAGAGAGAGAGAGAGCCCTTGCCTCCTCACATTAATAATTTGTGAAAGGGTTTAAGCCAAGATGGAGGACAGAAATTCCGGAGAAGAGGTGGTGGGAAGGTACAACCAAAACTAAGTACATAAAAAAAATGCCAAAAAGGAGTCAGAGAAGTGGCTCAGTGGTTAAGAGCACTGGCTGCTCTTGCAGAGGACCTAGTTCAGTTCCCAACACCCACACAGTGGCTCACAGCCATCCATAATTCCACTTCCAGAGGATCCAGTGCTTTTTCTGATCCCCAAGGGCACCAGGCATCCTTGTGGTATAATACATACAGACAGACAAAAACAGCCACATACCCAAAATCAATATATGTAGTTTTACAAGAGGGCCAGTGTAGCAGCTCAGTGGGTAAAGACACTTGCTTCCAAGCCTTGTGATCCGAATTAGATTCATAGAATGGGTCCATATAGTGTAAGCATAGAACTAGCTCCTGCATACAAATAAATAAATATTTTAACTTAAAAATAATCAGCTGGGCAGTGGCGGCTCACACCTTTTAATCCCAGCACTTAGGAGACAGAGGCAGGCAGATCTCTCAGTGAGTTCGAAGCCAGTCTGGTCTACAAAATGAGTTTCAGGACAGCCAGGACTATTACACAGAGAAACTCTGCCTCAAAAAAATTAGATAACTAGATAAATAAATAAATAACCAGAGGATTTATGGAAAGAAGGAGCTGATAGAATTCTTGGTAGATTTTGTAGCAAGTTGAGGCTTTGGCTGGACCTTGAAGACTAGATTTGGAATAGGCAGGAAAAATGGAGACCACTTGTGCTGGAGCCTGTCCACCTTACTGCCCTGGAGCAGGGTGTTGTGTCCTCAGAGGCCAGCTGCTCTGTGCCAGGTGGGAGAGCTGGCCCTGAGATCATGAGAGTGGGAGAGCTTGTCCTGCCCCTCACCTTTCACCTCGCCTGGGAGACACAGTAGAGCTTGCCCTAGTGTTGTGGGTGCAGGTGAGCCAGCCCTGAGGGCATGAGAGCAGGACAACCGCCCCCTCCCCTTGCTGCCGGCAACCGCCCCTCCCCTTGCTGCCTGCTGCACTGGGTGAGCTAGCTGGGGCCGTGCTGGAGAACGTGCCTTGGTGGTGATGATGAGGGAAAGCTGGTGGATGGACCATCCCAGCTACCACCCAGCCCCAGATGCAGGGCTATGAGCTTACCCCATCATCCACCCCATCTATGAACTGCTGGAGCATGCCAAGAGGCCAGTCCTGCAGACCCGAAGCTGCAGGGTCTCCCTGACACAGAGCAACAACTATGCAAGGGGAGCCCCAGTGAGAGCCCAGTATCCGTGGTGCAGAAGCTGAGGCCTCGAACCAGACCAATGACTCACTGCAACGAACACTTCGAGCAAAGATGTATGGACTGAATGGTATAATGTGTGACTCACTGTGCTGCAGTACAGCTTCCATGCCAAGATTTTCTTTCTGTTAAATATTATTTTATGTTATTTTGTGGGGGAGTGTTACAAGGGCAGAGAGAGGGCGGATACGAGGGGAAGGGAAGATGAATTGGATTGGGATGAAGGATGTGAAATACACAAAGAATCAATCAAAAGGTTTTTTGGTTTTTTTTTAAAGAAGTAAACAGTCAGTGCACTGCTTCCTAATTCTTTTACTACAGTTTGCTGTTACCTATCTCCAAGTTGCTCACCCGCTGGATGTCTACCGTGTAGGTTCTGTATAAAAGGCGCCAGGAGTAGAAGCATTGGGTCTTGAATTCCAAGCAAGGAATAAAGAAATTATTATATGATCATGAGTGAATGACTAAAGACTCTTGAGAGAGACATGAATATGGCTGAAATGGCATCACTTGATGTAGGGACCACGCTTAGCAAAACAGAAGGTCCAAACAGCAGGTAGCAGTAGCAGTTTCCTGGAGTGTGACCACTCCTTCTACAAAATCAAGATGTGCGGAGGCACCTTCTCCACACAACCCCACAGCAGAGGTCTGTGGAGGCAAAGTCTTCCACATGGGACAGCTAGTGTAGGGCTTAGCAACTAGCCTCACTATGGCAGATCCCAAAAGTCTTCCAGAGCAAAGAAAGATTAAGTTCCATAAAGTATATATTAGGTTATGTAAGTTTGGTTTTGAGTATACCTAAGAATGTTCTGATTCTTTAGAAATTTATAATTCACAGCTGGTAGCTATAGCAACACCTCATTAGGCACTCAAGATGCATCCCTTAATGTTTTTTTTCTGTCATTCTTTTATAAAAAAAAATCACTCTACTTGCCATTGACCTCCACACTGTCTTACTTTAAGTCGGTGGTTCACAACTGATCCCAAGTTCAACCACTCAGGAAGTTTAATAAAAGTACACCTCTGGAGATGGTGGTCTAATTGATATGAACTGGAACCTGAACACTGGGCTTCTGTAAAGTTCCCAAGGACTCTTCTGTGTCCTCATTATTGCTCCCCGGTTCATGGACTGAGCGATTTGCCTGGGCCCTTCCCTCTAGGTTTAAATTCTTCATCTCTCTTCCCTACTGCTGAACAACAGCCATTTTATCATGCTCCTCCTGCCTTAAAAGCCTTCAGTAAGTGATTCTGTTGAACCTCTTAATCCTTCTCAACTTTTTTCTCTATGGACACTTGTATAAAATCACCAATGTTGACAGATAAGAGATGTTAAACAAAGGCAGGAGCCTGGGAAGAGATATCAGGCCTGGTATAAGCAGCACCAATCAACACTTTGGCCTCCTGGAATGGTGGACATCAAGAAGAAATGGCCATACCACAACACCCTCAGAGGCTTCCGTGGGTTCTAACAGTCATCCCACTTGGAGGGCAATTTTATTTTACCAAAAATTCATATGTTAAAGTGTTATACCAGTATCTCATCATGTGCTGAGAGGAGGAGCAGTTCCTAGAGGTAGTTAAGATGACAACAAATGGTGTCTTCTTTATGAGAGGGGGACATTTGGACCCACACGTAGAGAGACAGCCAGTAAAGACAACAGCACACACGGGGGCAGTGTTTCTATAGACCAGACGTGACCAGAGATGGACAGCAGCCTCTGGAAGCCGGAGAAGAGGCTTGAATAGCTCCCACCACCCCCAGAAGGCCTAACTGACCCTTGGACTTCTGGTGTGAAATGTGTGAACAAGCACATCTTTATTGGTTAAACTGCCCAGTTTGGGGTATTTAATCCCAAAGGTCCAGAGAGCTGGTGCACCTCCGGCTTCTTGATCTGGGTAGTGTGCCTCTCCATCCACTCTTGCCTCCTACCCAGACTCTTTCTAGCCAGTCAAGCCTGTCTCAACATCCCCAATGTACCGTGTTACCACGTCTGCTCCTGCTGTCCCTTCTCACCACAGGGTTCACTTCCAGCCCCCTCCTACTGCCCCCAGGAAGGAGTCTGTAGGAGCTGAGCTTCGTCTCCCTAGCCACAACTCCCTGTCTCCGGGCACACCTCCACAGCTAGCCATCCCTCCTAAGACACACCGCTACTGGAGTCCAGACCCGACCGGTCTTCACATCCCCACAGCCTGTCTCTCCACCCAGCCTCTGCTTCAGTGACTACCATAGACCACTCCACTAGCTTCAGGCCGCTGCAGTCTGACTGCTCTCCTGAGTCCACACCACTTGGCTTCCCCCTTCCCCTCCTGCCCTCCTCTGCTAGCGTACGGACGTGCTGGGCACACGCGTGTGCCACCCTCACAGCTGCAAGTGAGACGCTCTTCACCCTCTTCACCTGGGCAAACTGTTCCCAGTCAGATGTCATACAAATTGAATAGCAAATGCTCCCATAGCGGCCAATTCTGCAAGCTTCCTACGCATTGGGGTTCCCACTCCCTGGTTTGTGTCCCAGCTCCTCCCTTATTATTGCCCCATATCACCATGCGGAAATAAACTCACTGTATGCATCCTCTGTCTTCTTGAGGTCAGAAGGGATAACACTTGTCACCTTGGCCTCCGCAGCATCCGTTCCTGTGGCCTCTCAGTAAGTGCTAGTAAATGTGTTGTCGTCTTGTCACGGTACCTAAGGAAAATGAAGGTAGATTAAGGATTCTTCCGCAGTAACATTAGGATAATAAAATTAAATCCCCACCTTACACCAAATAAAGATGAATTGAAGATGCAAAGCAAAATAAAAGGCACTTTTAAAGAAAGAAGGAAATGTCTGTGCTCTGGTGGAGAAACAGTTAAAAGCCAAAAGTTCACTATGGAGTAAGAAACGCTCTGCTAACAGAAGCTGGGGGTGGGGGCCTGGAACACGGGTAGCCAAGAGGGGCGAAAGCCAAGCTGAGTTCTAGATACAAGAAGAAAGTAGACAAGAGAACTCTGGGGAAAATCTTCACAAAGACACAAAATGGGAACAGTGAAAGCAATGGCCCTGTGTGTGATGAGAATCCATAGGGGTGTAACATCTGGCTTTCAGAGAGGGATGCCAAATCTACATGAGTAGCAACTGTACTTCAGATGTGACCTTGGAGTCTAGTGACTTCTTAGGGTGAGCTAGAATATGGGGGGAGAGCGTAGTTGCCACCTCCTTGGGAGTATCAATGACCCTAATCTGAAAATGGGCAATATATTTACCAATGTTCATCAAAATTGGTCATCCAATTAAGGGCCATCCACATTCCAGGGACATACAAAAACAATGTCCATTCTGTGATGTCGCAAGAGAGAACTTCTTCAAAGCTCCAGGAACAGTTGGAGTTGCCTCAAACCCTCATGGATGGTGTATTCTCTGTAGCCAAGTCAGAGTGAGGAGCTCCATTAGGGCTCCACCAGAGGGCAAGGGAAGAGGGAATAAACCGGCCCCACCTATTGATTTTTGGTCTGGATAAATTGCAGATTCCAGGTGCTATGTATTAGGACCTGTGACAACTTCAGCGTCTTTACCTGCACAAGCTCTATTGTGTGTGTTCTCTTTAGCCTAATGAATTGTTCTGAATGGTTTAAAAGAATGCTTCTCCTCAATTCAAATTGATAGTTTAAGAGAACTTTGGAAACGTTCCTAGCCCAAGAATCAGGCAAGTTGAATCAAATGTCTTGTAGCAGTCATGCAGTACCCCAATGCACAGTGTCCTTAAAGTCCACATGCAGTCATCAAGTGCATTTTGCCATGGAATCCCTCACAACCAGAGAGGGTTAAACAGCGGAGCACCACACAGTGCTGTCCCACAGCAACAGTGACAAAGTGAGTGCTGAGGGGACACTTAGCTGCATTTGCCACTTGTCACAATCAGGCACGTGGCAAAGCTATTTGGCTTCAGAAACGTACTGCCACTAGAGGATCAGTGTAAAGATACCTGTATTTTTTTCAATCATCTGTTTTTAAACACCTGCCTTCAATCACCCGTCTACTTTTTCCCACACATCTGATAAGACAAATTTGGAGGAAGCTGATCAAATTACAACACAGGTGACACGCTCAAAGGATCTGTATAGTCATAGAGTCTTTGTTACGGCTGTGTTTTATTTATGACTCATGCCACACACACACACACACACACACACACACAAGAAAAAAAACCCACTGTGCCATAGGGCTTCTGCTCTCCAAATCTCCAGCAATTTATTTCCCTCAAATTTATGCTCACATTTTACAGTGAGATCCACAGCAATGGAGCAAGAAATCAGAAAAATCAGCATTGGGTGTCAACAGTTTAACATTCTTAGCTAGCTGGGACAATCTGGAGGCAATCACTGAGAGGCTTTTGGTGACCTTGCCACCGCTGCAAATCACTGTGATCTGAATGAGAATCGTCTCTTCTTCAATAATACATTACAGACTCAAGTGCATTTGTGCATCCTCGGGGGTTTCTCAGTAGGAACTAATATTACTCCGGCACAAACTTCATTCTTCTTATCCCACAGTTTCCATCGATACACTCACAATCCCTCTACAGCACACAACCGAGGGGGCAACCCACGCCTCGTGTCCACGTCTGTCTCTAAGGGCTTACATAGATGCATAAGCCAATAAGTAATAAAGAACTAAATAAAAGTACTAACAAATATTTCTGCCCAGGGTGTTCAGGCCTAGATGCTCACATTCAAGAGCTGTCACGGTAGAAATTAAATGAGAACAGCAGACAAATCAAGCTAGAAGAGGTGAATGGTCAAGTCAAGGCAGCAGAGGGGGGGACACCACAGGTGGTGCCACCAGGAGACCAATGGTGACCCCTGGCATTATCTGTGAATGACTCCCAAACCGTTCATGCAAGTTTCCACTGGAGAAACCGCCAATATAAAAGCAATGAAATACAATGAGAAGTGCAGTGTGTCCCCTCCAGACCCAGAGAGAACACAATAAAGCCATACTGAAATGTCAGTGCTTATTAGACACCTGGAGTCCTGCTGGGGACCCAGTCAGATGCCACCACCCCCATCCTGCCACACACACCACACGCTCATGCGCGCGCGTGCACACACACACACACACACACACACACACTTTATTCCCTAGCATCCTCTTGAGTCAATTGAGTCCCTCACCACAGGAACAATTCAAAGCTTCCCTCAGTAAGATGGCAAATTGCTGGGTGTCATGATTGTACACATAAGGCTACAGTAAGGATTCCGTGCCAGCTCAGTACCAAGTTTTGTGCTCGGTATGACCCATAAACTTCTCATTTCATTTATTCCTCAACTGAATAAAGCAACACTATTACCAGCTCCTGTCTTATAGATGAGAAGCTCAAGTTTAACACATTCAACAAGGCAAAACATCTACTCAGTCCACAACCGTTTGCCCGTCGCTCTGAGTTTCTTCATGTACGGCGTGCATCCAGACAACTGACGCCCCAGAATTGCTGGGACCACTGATTCTGCCAGGCCACCCAGGAACTCAGATTTGAACTAATGAAGGAGACATATAAAGTGGGCTGCTGAATCTGGTCAGCAGAGACTAGAGAGAGGAGCCATGAACCCCCATGGTCAACCTCCCAGACAGCCATGGAATCCAGGGGATTCTATCTTCCAGCCAGCTTCCTGTTCCCAAAGCTACATTTCTATTCCTTCCTGTGATCTCCTATCCTTGGTGGCAAGAGATAAGATGGGGTGCCACCCGCTCCAAACTCAAGGTGTAGCTGTAACAGGGAGAAGCTTGCATCCTCCAGCATTGGCTCTGTTGTTCACAGGACCCACGGTGCCCCAGAGCTTTGCAGACTCCCATAAGACAGCTCCTCTCCCTTCTCCCAGTAGTCACACCCTGGTCACCACCCAACAATACCTCGAGATGATTCTTTATTTCGGTGAGGTCAAGCAGCACTGGAAGCTGAGAACTCGGCCATCTGGTCAACATCCCCTACCTCCACACTTTTGAAGCTATTTCTATCCTCCACGGTGCCTGCTTTATTAAAGAACCAGTTCTTGGCATCACCACATCTGTTCTCTGCCTCCACACGTCCCATTTCCTTCAGCTCTTGCCCCAACTAAAACCTAAGCCTGCTGCTTCCCTTGCACCCCGTTCAAAGGCTGGCCATTCTCTCCCTCATTTATCTCTGAAAATGCTGACTAGAGATGGGATTTCAGTCTTCTCACTGCCATTTCTAGACTTTTCCCCGACCTTGAACATTCTCCTCAGAGCTTGGTCTCTTCCAGTATCACACTGATCCAACCAACCAGTCTTCCTTAGAGTCACATGCCTGAACCCTTGCCCAGCGTTCTCCCTCTTGCTCATCTAAGATTTCTGTTGCAGTGATTTTTAATATCTACATTAAATGCTTGGGTAGTTAAACTTGGAGGTCGAGTTTATTGGACTAAGAGGTGCAGATGCCCACAATATTAGCACAGCAAATTTCTGAGTATGTCAATGAGGGTATTTTGGCATGTGTGCTAGCCATTAGCGAGAAAAAGACAGCATGAAGGTGGGTGGCATCACCTACTAGGATGATGAGATTCAGATGGAGGCAGAGAGAGCCAGCCAGTGCTCAGCCTCCACCCACTGATAGCAGATTACAGCTTCTTCAGACCCTCAACAGGTGGACTCATCAGAAGCTCTGCAGCAAGCTTCCTGGCCTCCACCTGCCACTAAGATTGTATCTCTGGTGCGCCTTCCTCTGCGGCATCAGCTTCTTGCTCTGAGCTCACACACAGCCATTGTTATAGAGTACACAGCCTCCAACTGTGCGAGCCAATGCAGTAAATCTTCTTTTGTTCTATAGGTCCGGTTCCTCTAGAAAGGCCTGCCTACAAAATAATCTTACTTAGCTGGTAAGATCTTACCCTCCACCTGGTCCATCACCCCTATGGCCGCATCCTAGACCTTAAATCATTCATTGCTAATATTAACATCACAGGAAACAGTGATGTTAAACCAAGGGCTTCCACTTTGACTTTGCCCAGTTCTGGGTTCCAATTCAAGCCCAGCCTCTTGGTGGCTGTGACATTAGGCCACTAACGCAACTGACTTGAAACTCAGTTTTGCTCAGCTGTCATAAAAGGGAGAGGTGGTCTTCTAGAAGGCTGTTACAGAGTGGAAATGTGATGGTTACAGGTAGAGGAGATGTCAAGTTACTCAGTCGTGATAGTTGTTATAGGAGGTGGCCCCTGTGAATCCCGCACTGGATGGTTCAGTCCTTTTCCATTTTAAAGTCACTTAGTATCTACTCCTAGCATGGATATGTTGGTCTGAGCATTTTGTGATGGGCAAATGAAAGGATGCCACATTTCACACGAAGCCTGGAAAGTTCTGAACACAACAGGCTATACAGATATGTTTGAAAACCAAGTTTGGAGGTGAGGTGGCGAAATGCTTACCGCACGAGCATGAGGACGCCTTAGCTGTCCGGCACAGCAATAAAAGCTGGGCACGGTAGCACGCATCTGTAATTCCAACACTGGGGAGGCAGAGAGAGGCGGATCTCTGGGACTCCCTAGCCAGCCAACCGGCTAAATTGGTAAGCTCCAAGTTTAGTGAGACCCAATCTCAAGAAAATGAACTGGAGAGCAACTGGGGAAGACACATCAATTGCAGGCCTCCACACACATGCACACATACATACATGTGCATGTGCAGCTACACACACG